TTTGCATTATGACATTGTTTCCCCCGTCAAAGTGGCAAAGGACAGGCAGAGGGACGTATGGTCAAAAGCCAAGCGTACGATGTCGAATTTTTTTTCGCGCTACTGCCCACTCTCTCTCTCTATCTCGACTTTTTCCCTCTTCGATCTATAGGTCCGCGCGATTGTTCGTCTCCTCTCGAGCTTTTGCAGCTCATTAAGCAAATACAGTTTATGTCACGTACAAAAGAAAGTTTAATCTCCGCAAACTATTACACGCAGTCGTCAAGCATTGCGCGCCTGACGGAGTCACGTATACGCACTCTCGGCGGTCCATCTTATCCAGCGCCTTTTTCTCGAATCGGTCGTTAAAGTCCTTGCGCGGAGAAAGAGAGAGAGAAAAAGGGCTCCGAGTGGCCGTAAATGTCTCGCGCGCGTACGTGGCACTGTTGGAAAAAACAACCCCCCCACCCCATCCCGTAAGGTGTTGGAAAAAAATATAATACCGCGAGGTTTTAATAAACCCAAGTTAGGTAATCAAAGCAACGAGGAAGAGGTGTTAACGGGGCCACTTCTGTCGCTTTAACGCGCGCTTAAATCACACTTCCAGCAACAGCAGCTCACTTTTGCGAAAAAGGGAAGGAGGAAAGAAAAAAAAGAGATGTCGGGAAGGGCTGTAAAAGTTCGGAGAAAGGAGGCAAGGGCGAAGGAATTGTTTTGAAGAAAAGAGTTGGCGAGCGTAGTAAAAAGTTCTCGTTGTTTGACGAATGTACGCCTGCCTCCTACTCGGTTTTTTAATTGTTGTCCTTTTTTTTTTTTTTTCGTTTATTACTCTACTTCATCGGAGTGCACGTTCTTCTATCTAATTATAGAAAAAACATTCACCGTAAGCACTCTCTCGAGTTTCCATGTACGGTGGGGGGAAGTGGGGGTCTAATCCCCGGTAGGAGAAAAAAAAGCTGTTGGAGATTACTCGTGAAACGTATACGCATTAAATCCCAAGAGAAACAAAAACAGAGACAGCTCCGGTTATATAAAACAAAAATGAGCAGAAGAAGGAGCCGAGCGCTCAAGTGGGGGGGGGGGTGGAGGGAGACGGACGGTAAAAAGATGAAGGGTCCGAGCGCTCGTATATCTGCGCATGAAACGAGGACTGTGGGGAGAGGGGGTGGGGGGTGAAAAAGCGCTCGTGAAAATAATACATTATATAGAAATATTTTCATAAGAGCCCCCCTTACCTCGGCTGGCGCGCGGAAACGACACGAAAAATGCGAAAACTTTGGTCAGTGACCCCCCTTCCCCCCCACCGAGGCCTTTCGTTGTCGCTGGAAATTTCCATACGGCATTTCTTTTTTGCCGAGAAAGACACATCAGCCGCGCGGATATTATTTCAGTCGGGAGGGCGCTGCCCAACGAATTTAACGAAAACAATTTTTAGTCTTTTAATTAATCGTCGCGTTGGCCGTGGGGAGAAAAGTGGGGGCTTTGCGCATATAGCCATCGCCGTGTTATTCCCGGGGTATTTTTCTTGCGCCCGGGCGGTGAGAATCGGCGACTTTGTGTTTGCAGTACGTACGAAAGTACATAGGAATGCGCGGAGGATGATGTAGGAGGAGAGAAATAACAGCCGAGCTTTTTCTACTCTCCAGGTGTGGCGATAAATTAGCGATGTTTGTACATTTACCGTACATGATTTAGGAAAATATCCTCGTTTATGGTACCCATTGTAATATTAATATTGTGAAAGCTGGTATAGGTACCCCCCAGCTGCGATTCTTCGAAAAACATTCCTCGCAAAAGCGATTCTTCGATTTGCATAATTAGACGTAAAAGCCCACGCGTGATCAATGGGAAGGTACATACAGTGCACGCACCCGGCAAATCGAGGGTGCAGGTATAATCGGGCTCATAAATAACGTTTTATCGAACATCGAGCCGGGACCTCTAATTGCCGATGATTACCACCGGCTTCGGCTGCGCGGGCGAAAAGCTTTAAAAAACACTGCGCTCCAGAGTGGGTGGTAGGGGGGATCGATTTACTCCCGTTTCCCGCATATTGGCCGAAATGATACTCTCTCTCTCTCTCTCTCGCCGAATGACTGCACCCGCATGTTTGCCCGGTGCGTTTTATTTTCCCCGATCGTATCGCTTGATTTTTAAGGGCTGTGCAGCAGCGCTAAATCATCGGTGTCGCTTGACACGAGCGCGAGGTTTTTTTTTGTATTTTCAATTGTATCTCTCCCTCGCGCTCGAATAAATACCGTCATCGCAGGAGCACGTATGGATGGACAGTTATGTAGATGAAAAAAAAATCGCGAATTTCGGACTGACGGACACACGCGGGCGAGCTGCAGGGCATACACGGCGAGTGTGTGATATCGACGGTAATTAATCCGCCGGTCCGGGTTACCTCGCTCGGATGACCAAAACGAGATTTCGGGATATTATTGCACGGGACGTTTTTCTTTCACCCTTCGTAATTGACCCGCACGTTTTTTGCACTTTGTTTTTTATTTGTAACAAGAGCCGCCGATCGCGTGTTTGCGCTCCTCTCGGCTCGATGATTCGCGCGGAAAAAAAAAACAAAAAAAAAAAACGTCGTACCAAAGTAAATAAATACACGGGCAAAATCCCATTCGCTCACTGTAACGCGATGTACATGCGGGCTGGGGGCTAATGAAAAGCTAGCCGAGCGCGAATAAACGCCGATTAAATTCATCATCGGCGGGGAAGGAGCGCGAACAGCGCTTTAACGGCAAATTAATACGCACTCTGTATTCAAACTCTCTACGGCAAAACACAGAGACCATCGCCCCCCCCCACCCCCTAGTGGACCCATAATAAATGCACGCCAAATCACCGTCGATACAAGAGGAGCCCCAACTTACACGTCGCTCGCATACCTTATATCTCCACTTTGGATTTCACCTCGCGCTACTACCATGTATACGAGTATAGGTATAGGGTAGCTGGTATTGTGTAGAACTTGTAGCGGTGCAAGGAGGGATGGGAGTATATTCCTTCCTTGAATACGGAATGCTCGAGCCGCGCGGAAACACACAAAGGGCGCGATGTATTGTTGTATAAGTATATAGCGTGCGATGATTGGTAAGTTATCGAGGCCCGCGCCGTTTCCCCAATCACGTAGCGCTCTTAAATATTGCAAAGTAGCCGCGATGTAGCTTCCGCGCCGCGAGAGAACAATATACTCGATCGGAATACCTTATGGAGCTTCTTCCTTGTGCCGTGCGTTATTTCCTTCTTTCTTGGATGGTTCCTTTGATTTTTTTTTTTCAATATTTGATGGCTATTGCCTAGCGCGGCAGATGATGTGTACACGCGTTGCTTCTTTAATCGATTCGACGCTCTCGGCGCGTGCACGTTTCAGATTGATGGATATATGTGTACACAAGAGGGTGTACGTGATGTTGGGAGGGCGAGGATGAATAAACAAAACAAAGTCTCCTGGATATACGTGTTAACATCGAAACAATTTTATTACATTTTTCTTTTGTTTTTCTCATCTTCGAACCAATTGTTTGCTCCAATATAATATATCATGTATGCATATAATATATAAAAAAAAACATTGTCATATTCATACGATAACACCATTTTTATATTTTCGCAGAATGCAATGATGATAGCTGTTGTTTGATGTTTATGTTCGCACTTGACGCTCTCGAAAAGTGGATACCGTACAAAGGTTTTTTTTTTAATTTCATGCATCTTTGGGATCACAATAATTCGCTGGTCCATAATTTCGGGCACGATCCCTCAAAAAACAACAAAATTCTAGGGAAATCGCTCTTCCAACAAGGTATTGTCAACAAAAACACTAGACGCTCGAGCAAACCGACACTCTCACCAGTAGGTGTAAGAACTGTTTGACTCATCGATAAAAATGCGTTTTTCCCATCGTTATGGTCGTGCCCATTGTTCTTCCGATCCACCAAGATTGAATATATTATCATGGTGTTCCTCGAGTACACAATAATGGATTATGCGTATACATGTATTATGTCGCGTAGCGAAATCAATATAATCTCATCACCGTGCCAATAACAACTCAATGCGCATGTAATCACCGTTACAACATTCGCCCACTCTCATCACACAATCAACAAACGATATGAAAACTTGTCGACTCCCGATGGAAAAAAAAAAAAAAAAAAATTAGCAATCAAAACAGTCGTCGTTATTTTGCTTATCTGTCCAGCATACAAAGATGCAACGCTATATACTCGACAACGGCCCCTGGAGAGGGGAGGTAGGAAAATCCGAGCCAAAAATCTGAGGCACGCGCCGCAAAGTTTGAAAAGCCCCTCCCCCCTTTGCAAGCCTTTCGCCATCGGAGCTCCCCGAGCTGTGTTTCCTTTTCCCTCGACGTTTAAGTAAGAAGAAGAAGTCTGAACACGGGGGGAGGGGTTATAAGGAGCCGTTGAAGAAATAAAACATCGGAGCCGCGTAACGGGACCGATAGCGGCGCAAAAGCTCTCGGCGAAACTTGGAGCATAACTCAGGCCTCGTTATCTGACTCGCAAATAAGGCAAAAGTTCGCGACATCAATCTGGCCTTTTTACCCGGCCGCGGAGATTCGAAGTTGAAACAATGTCGTATCGTCCCTCCTCCCCCTCCCTACACTTTTTTTCCTCTCCCTTCCAACTGACGTATGAGCCTCGTGGGATAAGTGCAGCGTGGCGGCCACTCGATACGCAACTTTTCGTGTCATGTCCTTTTATTTTGTTTCGTCTCGTTTGGATGGTGTTTCTACTTTTGCCGCCCCACCCCCCTAAAATGCTTGCCTCGGTGTAGAAACTGGGTTTTTTTTTTTTTTTTTTTTTCTACCCTGGTTGTGATTTACGGTGCGAGAATGCGACGGGAATATTGATAATATTTCGAGTGTGTAACATGGATTACCAATAATTCCAAAGTTTTACATCGAATTTTATGGCATTTCGTACATGTGCAGTCTTTTTTTTTTGTCATTTCTCTACTATAAATTATAATGGATAATATTTACATTTTTTTTTTTTTTTCAATCACAAGTATCGCTCGAGTTTTCTTTTTCGATAAAACACAAATTACAGAGCACAAATAAGTACAAACATGCGCCGCGACGAAACATTAGTTCGAGAATAATCTAAAAAGCACCAGAGTTTTTCATTTATTTAATGTTTTTTTTTTTTTTCTTTTTTTTTTTTTCCTTCCTCCCAAGATCGACGGCTAAAGTTCTACCAGGGGTGGGTACCTATATGTATATCTACAGTGAGATTTACGCGCCGCACAAAAGTTTGATCGGACTACATTCTAGCTGGGGCGAGGGAAAGGGTTCACGTGTATATGGACTCCTTTACGACCCGTCGCCCCGGTCGTTTTCGCCGAACCCTTGCTTCTCGAGATCTTTTCCTTCGACTGGCTTATATTTGTCCCGCCGGAGGATTGTCGAACGATCATTCGGCTGGTGGGAAAAAAAAAAAAAAATCCCGAAAAGCGTCCATCTCGCGTTTCTTCTTCGCTTATTTGGTCTGTCATTTGGTGTCGTAGCCGGTGCTCTGAGGCCCAGCCATGCCGTTGAGGCCTGCAAGCGAGCCGAGAGTGCCGCTCGAGGTCGTGGGCGCTGGGTAGCCGTTGTGGGTGCCCGCCACGCCGTCCGCTGGCTGCAACCCGTTGGTCTGCCGCTGTGGTCCACCCCCTGGCACCGACTGCAACACACAATCGTTCGGTTATTATATTTTTTTTTTTTTATGTGACTGAAAAAGTATAAAGAATTATTTAGCAACGCTGGCTTGCCAAGTAAAACGGTTTTCATTCCGAATGAGTATCTCAATCGCGACGTATATACGTTTACCATTGCGGTAAAAGGTCAAAGTAAGTGACTAAACACTTGTAGGCATATTGTTGATCGACTGTAAATATCGAGCCTTGATTTATAGAACTGTGAAGGGCAGCGCTTTGAGCAGACGATGAATTATAGGGCCTCGTCTGGCTGTAATAAATCCTGACTCAGCTGTATATGCGACAAGTTCCTTCTTCAACGAAGGTTGAGTCATTTCGATGGCGCGAATTTCAAAATATTTTAACGCTCGAATCGACCAAAAAAAAAAAATGAAAAAAATAAAAAATAAATTACTCACTGGAGCAATAATAATGCACTATGCTGACACATCCAGAGGGTAGATTTTTTTTCCACGCGTTAACAAAGTGTAAGTACTTGTTTGTAATAATAAGTAATTTAATATGATAAGGACAAAAAGCGTGGTTTGTTACTAATTTTTTAGATCACGTTAATACCTGAATGATGTTCGATCCCCTAATAGTAGAAGGAAAATTTGAGTTGCGCGCTTGTCGTATGTACACACAAATTACGATTGTACGGAGCACAACTGGGTCATGAAAAGAGACCCTGAGACCGTGCACATACGAGTATTGGGTTATGTTATTGTTCCTGTTAACATCACGTGTAAGTACCCGGAATAAAATCAGATTATATTTTTAAAGCGTACAAAAACAGCCATTGGAGTAGCATTGTACCGTGTGGGGATCGATAAGTTACGCGTAAAAAATATACACAATTTGATCGACTATTGACTTTTTTGGCACGCCCGGATTTGGTAAGACTTGTAATACTTATAAAAATAAATGTTGTGTAACGTTCAAGTCGTTTTATTTATATATAATTCAATTAGTTTTGCAATAAAAGCCAGAAAATTATGAGACACCTGTCAAGTATAAAAAATGATGTTATATCTTAATTGTAAAAAGTAAATAAAATTGAAAAGAGTCAACGATCAACCAAAACGGAAAAAAGGTTCGTGTCAATGTCACGAGTAAGTAAGTATACGGTTCTCGAGTGGTGTAAACACGCATTCTTCGAGGCGTAGATATTCGTGAAAATGTATGATTCACCGGTACAGGGAGCCAGTAAGTGGGTATTGTGTGCGTATCTATAATATATACGCAGCGGTGAGAAGTAAGTAAAGGCCCGACGAAGAAGAACTCGCGTAGCGTAAGTTCGTCATCCGATTCACTTTCCGTTTAACGCCTCGGCGTATAAAGAAGGTGGAGGAAAACGAGAGAGCGGGGGAGTCTAAGTAGGAAGGAAGTCTCGCAAGTTAAGGAAAGCTCTCCAAAGGACTCGAAACTCCTCGTATCCATCCCACTTTCGAAGTCATATTTATGTAGAGTTCGCGGCCCCACCGCTGCTTACATTACACAGGGGGACAAAAGAGAGAGAGAAAACAGCTGCCGACGGGGTTTAGTCAAACAAAACGGGAACCGCTAGAATATAAACAACACGTCACGAAGCCAAGGAATTTTCAACTTGTGTGTTTTTTTTTTTTTTTTTTCTTAATTGGTTATAGTACCCCTCGAAGTTTTATTAATTTCCTCCGATGCGCGAAGCGTCTTTTTTATCGTCTCCTCGAAGCGTGTTCAAGTAGAGTGTATAAAGAGGGGGGGGGGAGAGGAAAAAGTGGCCCGATTAAAGAAACCGAGAAGGAGCCGGCTAACTTTTCCTTCTTCCCCGCTCATCCTATAAATCGATTCCCAAAAGCTTGTACAGTCGCTAAATTCTCCGGAGAATAATTGAGAGAAGCCGAGGAATTAAGCGGAGGAGACAGTGGGGGTGGGCGTTGAAAACTTTAAACTTAAGAACTCAAAGCCCTCCTTTCTCCATCCTCGCCGTGGAAAAGTTGTTCGAGAGAGAGGTGTTAAATAATACAGGCTTAAAATTCGCTCGACACGTGCACGAGCCTCGAACTTTGCGCCGGCTCCTCTGTATAAATTTATTCAGCCAATGCGGCAGCCCGAGCCGCGCAATTACGACAAATTTTTAATGGTCCCTGTCGTCGTCGTCGCGTGGCTTTACTTTGAAAATTCATGCTCGCTGCTTATACATATATACATATATATTGCACTCGCCACGTTTTTACTTTGTTTTTTACTCACATTTATAAGGAAAAAACAAAAATTGATCAACCATTGTGTTTCGTCTTGTGTTTCAGGTGAGGTGCTGGGATCGCTGTTGCCACACCGATAGGATCTGCTAAATGAGGTAAGAACTTTTTTCGGAGTAATATCATATGAAATTCATCAACCGATAGACAGTTTATATACCATAATTATGCTGGAATATATATATATATATATACAAAGAGTAGCGCGTGCTCGAGAGTTATTTTTCACTCTCTATTTAAATACGCGTACTATTTTTACCTTTCGTTCGAGTGATTTCTCGTACCTGCATATATACGGATTTGGCTATTATTATTAAATGACTCGAATATCCAGCTAAATAACGTGCGATTATCGGACACTCGATCGCTGCAGCAAAAATATAAATAACAAGTAGCTCAAAGAATTACCGTATTGGCTGTGTAAATTGGTGGTATAAATATNACGAGTCTGCATTACGTACACCCGAGGGAAATCGAAAAATAATATGCGTCTGCCTGCTGTACGTACATGTATAACCGAGGTAATGCTCGGCACGACGCTGGGGTGGGTCGACCCTGGCTACGAGGGGCACGAAAAAAAAAAAAAAAAAAAAAAAAAAAAATAAGCAAAAAAAGGATTTTGATGTGACATTCGCCCATCGTAGATCACAAGCACAGACGAAACGCCTTTTATATATATATTATATCGCTCGCACCACCTACAATATACCGGCGAGAGAAAAGGGTTGCTCGGACGGATATGATAAAGCGTCCGCGCGCCGCTGCTGCTACCGCAACGGGGGCAGCCCATCCGTCATTTTTATCTCGCGGTTAATTATACTGATTATAACTGGCGCCTCTTCATTAATTATTTTAACGAATGGCCCTTCTTTCGTCCCCCCCCCCACCCACCCAACCTCTGAGCTACTGCTGTTGCGTATGGTGTACGTTTTCTTTCTTTTTCCAAAAGGGGCACGAGTGTTGTTTTTTTACCCACCCTCCCTCCTGCCGTGATTATTTAATTAAAATACGAGCTCCGAGTTTTTGCCGTTGGCGCAGCCATATTTACTCAACTCCCCGACTCGGCGGTCAAAATTTAAAGACCCCGTGCCTCCGTGGAGAATGTGACGCGCGCCGCGAATACGTTACCGAAGCTCGAGTGAAAAATCGCCCCGATCGGCGAAAACGAAACCAAGGAAGGGAGGGGCTAGCAACCATTCAACAACAAAAGTAGCAGAGCAGCAGTATTTCCTTAATTGAGTTAACTCACGGGGAGAAAGAGCCCGCCAGCAAGACATCAATCGCCGAGGGCTGGCCACAATGCCCGGCGGTTACTTTTCAAGCAACCCCCCTATACCAGCCCTCGTAAAGTAGTTGTTACGGCGGCTTACACGTATATATATATATGTGGCGAGATCTTTCGGCTCCCTCTTTTCCCGCGTCAGGCAGAGAAAGAAAACGAGCAATCGATGGAAATACCAGAGGACTTGCGAGGGGGGGGGTGGGGGTGTTGATTTTTAACGAGAAATTCGCGCCCTACCGTTTCCACCATTGTGCCGGCTCTGAAATAATACATCACCCCTCGATAAGAGTCTGCGATAAACGCACGCTCTCGGTGTGTAAAAGAGCTCAACAAACGTCCACATATATACACGGTTTGTACGCGTCTAATGTATATCATGACGGGTCGTCGTTAAACGCGAGCAGCGGCAAACGATTCCGTTTGAGCGAAGTTGTAACCCCCGCATCGCGTGTCGATTCTCGGATCTTCCGTGTATATATACGTGGTTGTATGGGTATGGTACCCGAGCGCGGTATAGACGATGCCCTTTTCCGTGCAAGAATTAACACTCGCCAGGCAACGGGGTACATGTACATGTGTGCGCGCGCGTCGTTAGGCCGCTCGTTTTTCCAACGCTCGACCGCACGTGCGAGTCCAGTGCGCACCTACCTCCGAGTAGCCCGATACGATGTGGCCCTTCCACCCGCACCCTTTGTCTCGGGACTTTGCGGGGCGAAAGAGCAGTCGAGCAATTTCTTTCGGGGCTCCCCCCACGTATACGTACGTATATATGTGTATATGTGCTCTTGCTCGCTTGAAAAAAAAAAAAAAAAAAAAAAAAAAAAAAAAAGTTGTAAACGGGAAAAGTTTGCTCGAGCTCTCGCGTAATGGCACTTGGGCTGCTCTGTCTCCCTCCCTCTGGCTCCTTTTTTTGTTTTCATTTGTCTTTAATAATTAAACGATAAAGGTAATCGGGCGAGGGTTCGGTAAACCCTGCATGTGTGCTCCGGGGAGCAAACGAAAACTCGTTTGCGCTCTATCGCCCAAGATTTCGATAAACAATCCCAAACAATTTGCAACAACAATGTGCACGTGCCACCCCAAACGCATCTCGTAGTAGGTATATGATATGTAATACATGTAGCTCACACGCGAATGCCATTAACACACATCATTTCTTGTCTATATATACCACATTGCGAGCTGTACCTAAATGAGCAAGATGTATGGGCACGAGAGATCGCAGGTCTGGCTGATGAAGCGGGGGGTGTGTGCGTGAGTGAGCGTCGTAAGGGGGCCTACGAAGCAAAACGTGCAGATCCTCATGATCTTGGGTGCTGTCTGTTGTGGCGAAACACGCGCGCCCTCGACCAACTTTTGCGGGGGGGGGGGGGGTTCCCAGTTTTGAAATTTCATTTCGCACGCGTTACGAGTGTACAGCTTTTACCTAACGATACAATGATGAGAAAAATTCATTGTGGCCGATGTTTGATGATTTTAGGGTGATGTAGAATCGATAGAAGTGAAAAGGAACAACTGTATCGCTTATTTGCATGATAATGTTAATTGAAGACAATGCCAGCCGCGTGTTTTTTCAGTCGTAAAAGAAAAGCAAAAAAAAAAAACAAAAAAAAAAAAACAGAAAATAGAAAAAGACATGGGTCGAGTGAGCGAGGATGATATATTAAGCAGGCTAAACAAGTACTTCGGTTACAAAGCCCTGCGCCCGGGCCAATTGGCCATCATGCAAAAGGTCTTCGAGAGGAGGGACGTGCTCGTTTGCAAGGAATCCGGCTTCGGGAGGACCTTGTGCTATCAGCTGCCGGGACTCATGAGGGACGGCGTCGTCCTGGTCGTCTCGTCCATACGATCGCGCGTCGAGGAGAAGTGCACCGATCTGGCCGATTTCAACGTAAATTGCTTCCCTTTGACACTTCATCGCCCCCCTACAATTTTTATCGCAATCCAAAGAGAAACGGCTCTGTGAAACCAAGTGTGTGTCGAATCGATTGAGTATCCATATTGCGCAACTTGTTTACACCGAGAGACCGGATTGTTTATACTTAACATACTTGTATCTTGACTATAAACAATCTGGTCTCTATGTGTGAATTTTTTCAACAACTCTAAGCTACAGATTTCCTTATTATGTATGTCAAAAATCTAACGATAAAGTGTTGCTATGCTTTTTTTTTTTACACAAGTAATTTGAATGAACACGCTTGGATTGACAGTAAAGTATACGAATCTCCCACCATTGAATTTGCTCATAAATCGGTGGGCATTTGATTTTTGCAAAAACCTGTACCCGGGCGCACCGTGTCTTGTAGGTAAAGTGCGCCTACCTGAGCAGTAGCGCAAAGTCAAAGTCGTACAATGACGAGCAGGACCTGCGAAGTTTGCTGATGAAAAAGAACAAAATCCTCGACGATTTGCGCAACTTCGCGGCCACCGGGTTTAAATTCTTGTACGTGACGCACGAGTACTACGCCAACTCGAGCCGGCTCCAACAGATCGTCAAGGACATTTACAAGAAAAACCTCCTTCAGGCCGTCGTTCTCGACGACGTGCACTGCACCGCGAATTTTCGCACCGTATTTCGCAAGGACTACTCGATCTTGGGAAAACTACGGGACTCGTGTCCCAACGCCGCGTTCTTGTGCTTCGTCAAGCCCATCAGCGCCAACGGCATCGCCATCATTCGCGACACCCTCAACCTCAAGCAGCCCTTTGTGTAAGTATACATACATACATATATGTATACACGATCGATTTGCTTGAAAAAAAAAAAAAATTCTCCAATTTTTCCTCTTGCAGCCTGAACGAGCCATTGGTCAAGGAAAACATGTCGTACAAGGTGATGTACACCCCGGAAAAGTACTACTCGAGTCAATTGGTCGATTTCATAAAGGACACCTTCCCCGAGAAGACGGGCATAGTCTACTGCCGCAACCGGGACGACTGTCTCCTGGTCTGCGAGAGGCTCAAGGAAGCCAACGTCAGGAACCTCTACTACCACGCCCACCTGTCCGACGACGACAAGAACTGGCTTCACCAGTGGATCGGCTCCGAACAGGCACGTAACCATCAACCCCCCGCGTGACAATGATAATATTTCACGACACAGAACACACACACAGAGAATCCCACGCTTTCAGATAGTCGTTACTTGCGTGACGGGGTCCGAGGTGGACATGCACCTGCCGAGCGCGAGTTACGTCGTCCACGCGACGCTACCCGCCAGCCTGGACGTGTACATGCAAGAGACGAGCAAAGTCGCGAGGAGCGCGGACAGCGTGTGCGTCCTGTTTTACAACACCGCTGACGCCAAGGCCAATCTCCAGCAGCTGGCTGAGACGTACCGCGAGAAGAGCAAGCGCGCGAGCCGCGAATCCAAAAGGACCTACCGCTCCGAGTTCCAGGAGCAAGCCAAACTAGTCACGGAGGCGGCCACCTACGCGGAGAACAGCTGCGCCTGTCGGCAGATATTTCTGCTCAGCCGGGGCTTGAGCGAGGACAACGTGGCGTCGACGCCGTGCGGGGTGTGCGACGTTTGCGAAGTCATGAAGGGCTCCCTGGTCGTCGACGTCGGCCACTGCCTCAGGAAGATACTCATGGCCGTGTGGGCGATCAACGTGCGCCAGAGCGGCTTCGAGAAGGACGGCGATGCTTTTTACGACGTGGACACCGACGATCTGGTCGATCTGCTTACGGGGAGCGCGAGGAAGCGCCTCGCGGCGTCCTTTCTGCCGAGCGAGTGGTTCTTCGCGTCGTTCAGCTCGTGGGACCGGGAGCTGTTGCAGAGGCTCGTTTTTTTGCTGCTGGGCAATAAGCTCGTGGCCCTGAATCACGCGTTTAGCGACAAGTTTGAGAGCAAGGCTCGGAACTTGGTCATTACGCCCAAGGGCCAGGAGTTTGTCAAGTCGACCACCGAGGTAATCCATGATTTGCAACGAGCGATGCGCGCGACGCTCTTTTTTTTTTTTTTTTTAATAAATAACGGCCAAAGTCTTGCTTCCCTTGTTTTTTCTTTTCTTCTTTTCTTTCAGTACAATATTCCATTCTCACGAAAAGACGTTGCCCTGACCAAGTGGCTGAGCGTGGAAAAAATCACGAGTCAGTACAAACGCGACCTAGAGAACGTCGTGTTGTATTACTCGCTGCACCAAGGAAAGCACTTTTTCGATAACGTCTCTTTCGTTTGCGATCTCCTCGAGGATTGTCCAGGCTCGTGGGAGGATTACAAAACTATGAAATCTAAATACACGACGAGCGACAAATGCCCCTTTGACGAAGACTTGTTTACCGTCTGCTTAATGTATTATCAAGTCATGAAAAGTAATTATTGTTACTAGCCGTGATTGTCGTGTACGGTTATTTCGCGTATCCTTATACAATTTCAATCGATCGTTGTAGCCATTTTCATAGCCAAGCGAAATTATATTGATGCTTTAAACCACGTATCATGTAAATAAGTATAACGTATCGCTGAAAACATGTGGTATTTTTTGTTTTTCAGAAATCATCAAAGTGAGCCATGGATCAAACGAAATCTCGAGAAGCCAACTCGAAGAGTCTCATTACAGGCTGTTTAGACGGTTTTAGCGACGTGGATTCCTACGAAAATTTGATGGAGAAACGATTCCGAAACATGAAAAAGGTACGTTTGGTTTAGAGAGATTTTCGTTTGTCAAATATAAAAAAAACATCAGCACAGTAAATTAAATTTCATCGCAGCCAACTTCCTTGGTCTCTGCTGTGGGTATCAACGTGCTGCGTTCCGTCGTCGCGTTACACTCGACCCTTGGCCAATGCGTCATTGCAACGAGTACTCCGCTGGAAAAAAAATGCCAATCCTACGATTTAAAGGGCTCGATGTGCGTGTCACCCTCGCCGCCTATGAACAGCTACCTGAACAACGCCCAGATCACGGGGTTCATTGATTCAAAACTGTTGACCCCAGATACGACTGCCGATGACAGAGAACTAGCTAACCAGTCCGGTGTTAAGAGACCTTGTGACGAAACGCAGGACGCAACAGCATCGGACAGCGGATTGCACAAAAAATTAAAGTACCAATCGTTGCTCGACACGTATCACTTGAGAAACAATACTCAGAATGTCGACAGATAAAAAGATTCATCCGAGATGACGCGTTTAAAGCGGCAAATGTTTATTTCTTTTCTTTTCTTTTTTTTACGTTGTTGATAGTAATGTCGATTTTTATAGCAAGTTTAAAAAACGAAAGCGCAGTTGATTTAGGGATATTTCTTTTGTAACGCATAAAAATCCTTTTGAAAAATGCTTTCATTACATTTTTTTTCAATTTTGTAATTTTACGGCTTCAGTGATAAAATATAATTGAAATAATGATGCAAACTCAACATGTTTTATTGCTTCGACAATAAATCTGTTTGAACATCAAAATGCAATACTAATTTTCATTCCCGTGATTTAAGTTTGAAGTAACCATTTGTACTTAAAAAAATACTTGTTCACCCATCGTCGCGTTAAAAACAAATAAAATCCGAGCATTACGTCTCGAAAACAATTGCCGACGTTTCAGCAGAGGCTCCCCGTGTCTGCTCTTCTGTACGGCACGATGTAATTATGAGCAGCAGTGGGTGCCGGCCCATGCGTGTAAAACCGCATTTTGCCCGCTCTTTCCCCCCCTTTTTTTTTTTCCTGTGTGAGAAGGACGTGCGCGCGCGTGTGTAAAAATAAACCAAGCTTTTTTTTCTTTCTTTCGTCCTCCAACCTTTCAACTGCTGTTCTCCTCTTTGCGTATGTATGTTTTTCTTTTTGTACCTTTTAACTTGGTAATGGACTAAAAGAATTAATGCGTTTTTCCACCCCCTATCTTTCTCCCTCCGCTTTTTTTTTTTTTTTTTTTTACGGCAAATAACGCGATTACAAAATTGTTTTTAATACCATGGCATTATTCCGCGCAAGTACTCGCAAAGTTGTCCCATGCATACACAAATTACTCGAGTTACAAGCCGATAACCGAGAAGCGCCGGCTTCACCTTCGAAAGCCTCCCCCCCCCCCATTGATCCCCCGGTACATCGGCGCCTCCTCCGCGACATTACCATATTATCGCGTCCCCCTTACCCCCCGTCGCATCGCGGATTCTTGTTTTAAAGACACTCCACCTTATACATAATATCGCCGTGCTATCTCTCCTCGAAGGGGACTTTAAGGCTCTCGTCTTGTCCCCCCAGGGTGTGCTACATGCCGCTGCGACGGGGCCAAAAAAAGCAAGAAAAGCATCTATGATATCTCTCGGGATAGTTTTAATGAAAAAAAATTAAAAAAAAAAAAAAAGAAAAGTTTTTACGGTCACTAATTTTTTGTTTTGTTTTTGGAACCACGCATATAGGCATTATATTATATCATAAAGAGAGCCTACTATTATTTTTCCACTTGTTACAAACGTGTAGGTATTCCCGGTCACTCGAGGGTGGAGGCGAGTCGGCTATTGACAAAATTGATTGGTTACGTGTGTAGCACGTGCCAGCCCTTGTAAGATCCCTCCTCTCAAAGACAACACGTGTTTGGGATGGAGGAGGCCGTATTATTGGGGATATGGGTGTTTTTACCGATATGAATGCACGTAGCCATCATCATTTGCTCCAAAGAAAGCACGCGCTTAATGGAGCGCTAATGTACGAATCAGTGGAAGCATCTTTGTAAAAATACATGTAATCTGCTCGTGGAATTTCCTTCGCTTCATCGACAACATACAGAAACTTGTCGATTCGATCGGACAACGGCCGAAGATGGCGCAATCGAGGGAAGAGCTGCTCCGCGGTTTTTGTTGATTCACCGTCGCTCGCTCGTAATTTCCCCGATTCGATTCCAAGAGATGGAAGGGTCGAGGAGAAGGAAGGAACTAACCCGATTTTTGTCAACTCCGACTTGCGAGGGTAAGCTTTTTTTTTTTTTTTTTTGCTCAAAAATATATATTATGTAGTATACCAATAAATAATAAAAAGCGACGGATAAAAATTACTTATTTGACAGGGTTCCCTCGCGAGAAGAGACAACAGAGAGGAAGGGGAGTCAAAACGAGAGAAGGGCACGTCAAGCTGGAGAGGTATCCGTCAAGCTTAGAGGGAGTAATAGATGCCCCGGCGACATTAGCATGCCGGCGCGCGATCATTGGCATTACCGCGTCGTCCCGATGTCTCTCTTGGCTCTATACAAAACGAGCGAGTCATTTATAATAGCGGAGCGAGAAAGGACGGGATTACGGGGACTTACGTTTTTGAAAGAGAAGGAAAAAAAAACGGCTCCTTCGCGCTCGGTTGACGTTTACCTTCCGGGCGGCATTTCATTGGCCACGCTCGAGCTTTTGCTACACCTCGACAACAATGTACAATGGACCGATATTAATCGAGCCAAGGCGAAACTCTCCACTTACACAATTGCATGTGTCTATACACAAGGACACACTGCAGATGGAGCGTAGCCCCCCCCCTCCCCGTATATAAAGTACATATATAGCAGTAGCAGCCATGGCTCTTGCTTTCCCTTGCCAACGTATATAAGGTACTTATAACTTCTGTTATAACATCATCAGGGTGTACATGGGCACATATTATACATGCTACCACGACGAACGCGCGGGATGCATTTGCATAAGTACGGTGCGTACACGGTATACTGCACGAGGGAGTGGGTGGTGATGTAGATATCATCGTCTCAGCGCCCCGTGTACCCCCAAGTAACCCCGGGATACTTTGCCGTTCACCTTTTCGTTTGGGCGAATCGAGCGAACCGATAAATATTGTTGAATCCAAAGGGTCCATAGTTACTGCTCTTTTGTTACCCAACAAATCGTAGTTAAAAAATTTCGGTATCCATTCGTTAGCACGTGTCGCACATCACCCCGACGAGCTTATATAATATTATATATACACGCAAAGGCGCAACACTCGGCAAGAAAGTCATACGTGCACGCGTACATATACATCAGCCGTCGGTGGTCCGCCGCAAAGGCAATCCCGGGTGCAGGTGTATATTTATATACATGAATATAAATATACCATCGCGTAAGGCCGCCAGATTAATCCGGCCGGTTCGTGAATTAGGTATAATGCTCCGCAGCCGGTTGCGGGGCACACGAGCCCCTGCCGATTTACGGCTCGCAACCCCCGCGCACGTCATAGGTAACACGTAACGCAAACTCGACGCGTGTTTTTTTTTTTTTTTTTTACTTTTCATCGGTGCCAAGCCGCTCTGGGCGATGACTGTAGGGATCGAAATTTACCGGAGCGACGCGCATCGTAGACATACGCTCGAGATATACTTTGATCCTGCCGGAGCAGCTGTTCGGAGGCGGTCCATCGGAGGAGCCAGGAAAGTCTTGCTAAGCCCCCCCCCACCTACTTGAAGCTGTCCAAGGTGTGCCACCGGGCCTAAGAAGCATCAGCCACTCGACGGATCGTTAAGGCATGCGACAGCCAAGTACACGTATACACACGCATATAGTCTTTGGCGGTGAGCTTAATTAATAAGGACACGGCGATATATATATATATAGGCGCGTTCTCTTTCTCTCGGCTTGGCTTCCCTCCGTACACTTGCACCCTTTCCTCTCCCTCTGTTTCAAGGGAACGGTGTACTTTCTACCCCCCCCCCTGGGGAGTCCTTTGTTGTCAGGAAGGAAGGGCCGAGAGCTGGCACTTTAACCCGCCTTGAGGGCCTTGCTTCTCTCTCTCACTTCGTGCAGCGGCCTTCGGTGTGTATACGTATATATACTTGATCTCTCGAGAACTCCATCTATCTTTATCGCCCGTCGTAATCTCGGTGGCGGTGTGTGTTTGTGTGCGAGCGGTGGTGTCTATGCTCCTTACGTTGCATTCTATATGGGCGAGCAAGAGCCGGACGAGGTGAGATAGCGCAGTGATATTTGCAAATCACGGGCAGGGGGAAGCTCTCGATTACGGCGACAGATTTGATAGGGAGTTTTGGGTTTGTTTCGGGGAGAAAGTGAGGATCGGTACCGCGACGAAAGTGGGTTTTTTTTTTTTTTTTCTATCGTTTTGGGTTTCGTGGCGGAATGTGAATTTTCTTTTCTTCACTTTAGTGAACGATTATAAATTTGTTTGGTTGTCGAAATACGTATGTTATCTACTACATTTAGTATATGTAGGTCATATTTAAACAATAATTGAACATTTTTTTTCTTTCTTTTTTTCATTCCTTTTGCAATGCATTTTTTTGTGTTTTCATTCATTCGTTTTGAAATGTAGTTAAGAAAAAAAAAAAAAAGCACTTTAAATAAACATTCAATTTTGTTGTTTAAATAACCGTACCTGTGGCTGAATTTGCGTCACCTGTCGTTTTATGTGCGCCAACGTTGCAGTAGGCGGCGGGTGCAGGGCCATGTTGGCAAACACCAGCCGCTCCTCGTAATCGTACTCGCAGAGTATCTTGTTCTCGCACAGGTAGAAACGATCGCCCACGCAAAATCTGGAAAAAAAAGCCATAGAATCAACAGCTCAATAACATAGAGAGATAATTCATTTCTTCGAGGACATAAATATAAAAAGGATCCCATTTGGTAATACTTTAAACCCTCTCGCCTCGCTCGAAAAGTGAAAGCCACGGGAGAGCCTATATCTGTACATTATACACCCAACACCCAAACAAAGTATAAGTATATATACGGAGGATGATGATGAAGAAGAAGAAGAAGAAGAAAAGGGGCCGGAGGTGGCAAAGCGTGCTAATTCCGCTTAAGAGCGCTCTTTCCGTTTTGGTCCATCGCCCTCCGTCGACGCCGCCCGTCGCCTCGCCATGGCAGGGAAATTGCGAGAAAATAAAAACACACAAGTCCCACCCCCTCCTCCTCCTCCTCCCCGCGTATACTTCCTGTTGCTCGCTCGCCGGGAAAATCTTGGGGGGGATCTTAGGATGCAAATACAGCTGCTGCCCCCCCCCCTTCCATACCTATATATACTTACTGCCTACTTGGCAGGACGAAAGAGAGAGAGAGAATATTGGCACTCGCTTGTTTTCGAGCTTAATGAGCTTGCCATAATTTCCCGCCTCTAATTAAGGATTATTGCCGGCGTGCCTTTTTAGCTCCTCTCCTCTACTGGTTTCACCGAAGGAGAGCTTGATTAAAATTACTCGAAATTGCTTGCACTTCCTGGCCGAAAGGGAAAAAAAAAGGGCTCATGTTTTACGACATATGTACACCTAAACTGCTCCCTTTCTCTGATTCTCACTGTGTACATAGGTACCGGGAGATTGTTAATTTACAAATTGTTGATCGTTGCGATATTTTTTTTTTTTTTTTTTTTTTTTTTTATACGACGTTTTGATGTATCCGCAAGGGTACACATAGGGGTACATAGAAAGTGCCGAA